TCTGCTCTCAGGACAATATCGCCCATCATGGCTCAGCCCAGACGCGACCTTCTCTCCTCCCCCTTGGCCTCCAAATTCCTCAGGGCCTTATCAGCTGTCCCTTCCTGGTGGCCAGATCCCAGCTTCCCTGCACTGAGGTCACTCATGCCCACACATCACCCTCCTGTCCAGGCGGTCAGTGCCTGCAGGATGGAAACACGGACGGTCCCTCGCTGGGGTCCTGTTCACTGAGCCGTCTCCCCAGCCTGATGTATCCCCTCCTCCTCAGGGCAGGGCCCCATCTGTCTAGTTCACCGCCTCAAACCATGCTGGTCCATGGGTGAGGCTCAAAAAGTAAATGTTGAATTGAATCAGCACATCCTAGGGTGCATGATGGCGGGGACCCCCAAGCACCGTGAGGGGGAGCGAAAACTGTACAGTCTTAAAGTGGGGCGGGGAGTGGGTGTGGACAGGGCTCTCAAAGTGACAAAGGCTTCTCTGCTCGGACCCAGAAACTCCTCTTCTAGGAATGTGCCCTCAGATGAATTCACACGTGAGTGAAGGGATGGATGTACAAGCATCTTCATGACAGCACCGGTCTTAACAGCAAAAGATCAGAAACAATGCGAATGTCCGTTGAAAGAGAGCTAGTAAAGTCCACACAATGGAAAACAGTGCAAGTGTTTAAAAACCGAATGAACAAAATTTATGTTCTGATGGGGAATGGTCACCGAGATAAATGAACTGAAAAAACCAGAGCACAGGCATTGAGGTAAAACGGGTGTGTGTGTGTGTGTGTGTGTGTGTGTGTGTGTGTGTGTGTGTGTGTGTGTGTGTGTGTGTGTGCGCGGGTGTGTGACTGCTTAGAATACACAGGGTATCTCTGGAAGGAGTCATAAGGAACTGGGGTCATGTTTGCCTCTGGGGAGGGGAACCGGACAGGGCTGGGAAGGAGACTTGCACCATATAGATTTCTGTGCCTTCTGAATTTTGAAGCATGAAAATGTCTTCCCTATACTAAAGACACACGTAAAATCAAACAGGAAAGTCACAGTGGGATTGCACAAAAAGGCAGCACCTTCCACTGGGGGATCATAAAAGCACATGTATATCCGTCCACCTCTGGTTTCCTACCCCCAACACCACCCCAAGCCTGTGCCTGTGTGTTTGCCCCTGCCCGCAAGGACTCTCTCCCTGGCTGAGCCCTGCTCATCTGCGGGGCCCACCTCAGTCACCACTGACCCCTCCCTGACGCCTCCTTCGCTGGTCAGCCACTGCTTTGTGCCCCTGGACCCTGCATTCTCCTTGCTGCCCCCTGCTTATGCCACTCGGTCTCCAGCTATCTGCACATCCGTCCCCGCAGGAGCCTGGAGGTTGGGGACCTGGAGTGAGACCCCTGAGATCCAGCCCCCCAGTGCCTCATCTGCCCCGGCAGGTTCTCAGGGAAATATTTGCTGAACGGACCGCTTTGCTGTAGGAGCAAAATGCCTCCCAGAAGGGCATGGCAGTGAATCAGGCGCAGGGAGAGGCTGCACTGAGCACCTGAACC